TCGAGGTTTCAGAGATATATGCAAAATTACCTGATTGTTCTGGACTAGTCTCAAGATATATAGAAATACAATATACTTGAAAGATCGTCGCACTGTTATCAAGCAACCGAAGTGCCCTTTTGCTCACTCTGGTATTGCAGAACTTGTGATAGACGAGGGACCACAATTCATGGCAGCCGGTATAGAAATACAATATACATTGGACGAGGGACCACAATTCATGGCAGCCGAATTTGCTGTTTCTGCACCAAAGATGATTTTGATCATAAGTAAATGGAGAGGCTGAGAGAGATGTACAGACAGCCAAGAAATTCCTACAGCAGAAAGATCCATTCCTCACTCTTTTGAGTTACAGATCAACACCACCAGCAGCTCCTGGACCACATCCAGCAGAACTCCACATGGGAAGACAACACTTTCTTTTCCAATGTTGGAACAGCAGCTCTATCTGCAAAGCAAAGAGAAGAGCAAATCAGAGAAAATGGCTAAAAGTGCTTACGGATGCTTTCATAACGGACATCACTCAGACTACAGCTATGCTAATTAATTATCTACGTTAATTGCATAGCTGAAGTCAAAGTTGCTTAACTCGGCTTTTGGCACTGTCTACACAGCAGGAAGTGGAAGGAAGAACACGTTTCCTTTGACTTCTCTTACTCATGAAATGAGAGTTACAGAAGTCAGAGTAAGATGCCTCTTATTTTGAAATTATTTTGGAGTAAGAAGTCTGTTCTTTCAAAATTATTTCAAAATAACGGGCTTGCTGTGTAGATGCACACTCTGTTATTTTGAAATAACGTGAATTATTTTGAAATAAGTGTGGAGTGTAGCTATAGCCTCAGAGCACTGCCTGATCTAGAACCTGTTGCCCCTCTTCGTGTCAAACTGGATGGAGAAAAAGGATGGACAACCCCAGCTGTCAGAAACAAAGGGAAGTCAGCACCTAGATCTTATGTCGTTTTGAGACTTGACAGTGGAGAGTTTGACAGAAACCATTGGCAGCTACAGTTTGCACTTTTGATTGTGCTCTTTGAGGAACAAACTCCACGGGTGGCAGATTCAGAAAAAGATGGCCACTCAAGGATTCTGCAACAATTATACCCGGTTGTTACAACTAATGGACAGCCACATGACCGAGCTGTTACACATTCAGGGAAACCAGTACAATTCAGAGACCCTACACAGACCGATACCTACTGATCTGTGAAGAGAACATGATAAATATTTTTTAAACGGTAGGAATGTTGAACGTAAGCGGGAGATGGAAAGGAACGCTGAGCCATATTGTATGCTTTGGTCTCTGTGTGTGTGTGTGTGTGTGTGTGTGCAAGCTCTGAGTCCAGCTCAGATTTGGTACAGGAACATGATTGTTCTTGTTTCCAGAGTGTCACGGTTGAAATGCAAGAGCCCAGCATTTCTGTAGGACGCTCCGGATGGGTGATGTAAGTGACAAAGGTGGCTGGCAAGAGGCAACAGGTGGCTCTTATGTGGGGGCAGCAGAAACAGGGCCGGCTCTACCTCTGAAATTGGAGGCCTTGCGTGTTCCAGTTGGCTGCCACGCGGTGACTGAGCGAGGGAAAGGAGAGGACAAGCGTCTCTAGCAGGTTGTTCTTCATTCCAGTACTGAGGAGGAGAGAGAGGCCAGACCCCCGAAGGGGCATGGTCACGGTGTATACACAGCCCGTCCCTAGAGGGGGAGGTCACAGGGATGTGTGTAGACACCGCTTGCACCGCTGCTGGTCTGTGGATGACCTGAGTTGGTCTGTCACCCCCAAGGCAGTGTGGCCTAAGAGCCAGAGCTTTTAAGGTAGTCCTTCCTTGCATGGCAGTGTGGCCTAGTGGCCAGAGTCTATGAGAGAGCCCTTTGGTCACAGGGCAGCAGGTCCTTCCTTTCAAGCATCCAGCCCAGACTGATCCGAGCTCCTCCCTTTCATACTACCCCAGCACCTGGAACATGCCCAGTAGGGCTGGGGGGGGGGGGGGGGGGGCCTTCCAGCCCAGTGTGGGGTAGACACGCCCCATCCCAAGCACCAAGGCTGCAGTCCTCCGCTGGCTGATGTATTGATTTGAAGGAGCTGAATTTGGCTCATCAGCTCCAGCCCCTGAGGTCTGATTTTGGCGGGGGGGGGGCTTGTGAGGCGGAGTGCAGGAACCTGACAACACGGGCTGCCGTTTCCTGTGACACTTCATCTGGCGGGGAAGGAGCGGTGTCCAGTATCGCCCCCGCAGCTTGGATTCCGCCTGGTGAGGCCCCCCGGGGAGCTATAGCTCACTGCGGGGTGTCTGGGCCCGGGGATGGGGGAGTTGATTTATGCAGGCGTTCGTCCCACGCTTCCTCGTACCGCGTGTGGTCATCAGCGTACTTGCCAGGGGACGATTGCTCACCAAGTGCACGGCGCGCGTCCCCTCGCGCGCTGAGGTAATCCTCGCGTTCTGGGAGGCCTTGAGCACGTCATGACCAGGAGGGAGTGGCTGACTCGCTACAAAAGCCGTTTTCCCTCCCTTGCGTAGTCACATTTCCTCAGACTGCTGGGAGCGAGGGCCACATCTATCCTGACTGGATTGGCCTTCGTTCGCACAGATCCTCCATGTGATACGGCCACGCCCTTCTTTTCATTATGCCTGCGCCTACTTTCTGACCAAGTGGGGGTTTTCCCCACAAAAGCATATGCCCAAATAAATCTCTTCGTCTTTAAGGTGCCTCGGTTTTTTTCCCAAAAATCCGCTCCACCGAGTTCAGTGACCCGAGGCTGACGGAGGCCAGCCAAGGACCAGGCCTGACGTACCTTAGCAACAGACTTGGCCTCCAAAGTCCCATGTTGGGGATGGCCCCTTCTGCCCTCGGAATCGATTATAATCAATGTGCCGGGACTTTTGGCATTGGGCTGTCAACCCGCTGCGCGCATCTGCTCCTCTCCTCGCTGGAACGAGACTGACTCAAGACGGAGGCATTTCATGTCCTCTGTGTGTGTGGGGAGGGAGGTTAATAGATAGCTTTTCTTAAAGTATCTACCCTGAAGACCCAATGAGGAATGTTATCTGGTAATGTCTGAGGAGCTGCTTGTGGGAAACCCAGGGAAAAATGAGGCATTCAAGGGAAGGGGCAAATTCGGCATTGCCTGACCTCGCTCAGTACAATTTGGAGGCTTTCTAAACACCATGTTGTAGCTCAAGCTGAAGCGATTGGTCTGGATTAATGTCCTGTAGTATCAGACAATAATTGTCCCCTCCCGCAATCCCTGGGTGCTGTGGAGAAGGTCAGACCAGAAGAACACAATGGCTGTGTCTACATTGGCGCGATCTTGCGCAAAAGCAGCCACTTTTGCGCCAAAATTTGCTGCCTATCTACACTGGCCGCGAGTTCTTGCACAAGAACACTGATGTTCTAATGTATGAAATCAGGGCTTCTTGCGCAAGAACGATAATGCTCCCGCTCAGGAATAAGCCCTCTTGCACAACTGTTCTTGCGCAAGAGGCCAGTGTAGACAGGCAACATGAATTTCTTGCGCAAGAAAGCCCGATGGTTAAAATGGCCATCAGAGCTTTCTTGTGCAAGAGAGTGTCTACACTTGCACGGATGCTCTTGCACAAAAGCACATCTCTTGCGCAAAGGCACATGCCAGTGTAGACGCGCTCTTCTGGAAGAGTTTTTGCACAAGAACTCTTCCGCAAAAGAGTTCTTGCGCAAGCTCATGCCAATGTAGACGTAGCCAATGTGTCCTCAGACTCTGTGAACAGCAGGATCCCGGGTGGAAACCAGAGGGGATTGGTAGCGAGGTTCTGAGATCAGGCCGGGGGGCCCAGCCAGAAGCAACCATCCGTGCTAGTATCCTGCTGTAGGACACGCTCACGGCTGAGGTCAATGAGTTGTGCTGGGTTGGAGCCAAGTAACTCAGCTGAGGTATGTGAGTGGCACAGAGAAATTAGGAGTGGGTGAGGGCCAAGAGCCATGAACTGGGACCTGGAGTCCGGCGAGGGGTGTGCGGCAGGGTCTGTCAAGGCTGACATCTGCCTTCTTTCACAGCCAGCCCGCGGGTGTGCTTAGTCCAATGAGGTAGGCAGGGTCAGTCTGGGCCTCTGAGGGGAGGCCATCTAGTGGGGCGTCAGCCCATGGGGCTAATAGGCTGCTGTTCCCCACTCACACAGCCCTTTTGGGTGGTGGTGTGTTCAGGAACCACCGCAGCCTGGTTCCAGGCCCCTGGTGCCTCCTGGGAAACGTGGAAGGTGCCGCAAAGACGAGCACGTTCCCTTACGGTGCCTGCATTCCAGGAACAAAGCCACGTGGTAGCACAGACACCGGGCTCCTCTCACGGACCCACGTGGGACCAATGTGCCGACACCACAGTCTGGGAAGCGTCTGTCCGACACTCTAAGCCTCCCCAAAACAATCCCTCGCCATCTTGTTTCTGCAGCTCTTTTAAGTGCTTTGGCTGAAAGCCCGAGAGACGAAACGCCAAATGGGCATGTGGCCTACCCCGCCCGCCACCAGAACCATCTGCCAAACTCCCTCTTCTGCCTGAGGAGATTACCGCCGGTGGCTCCAGTTGTGATGTGCTCCACAACTGGACTCTGACCACCGTTTGTGCAGGCCGGGGAGGGGAACCTCATAGAAAAATCCCTCACTGTGGCCCTCGACAGAAGGAGAAAGACACTCCCCATATTCCCCTCACACACCAGAGCCTAGCGGGGCCTTGCCTAATAGACTTTGTGCGTTCCAGCCCTCAGGCTCCAGTCCTGAGTCCTTGGGGCCTGAAGTTCTTCATCCCTGGTGTAGGCCCACGGCAGGCAGAGTTGTCCACTTACGGGCGGTGCCGCACTGCAACAGGCAGGTCCCAATCCGTGAGGAGAACACAGGCCCCAATCTACGCGCCCCTGCTCCATGTGACAGAGGACGGCCGCTGTGTTCTGGCAGCTTTGGTGTGCCCGGCCTATTGAGGGCCCGGTGGCCCCTCAGCCAGGCAGCCGTGCGAGACGTGTTCCTTCTCCCCCTCTCCTGCCAGGCTCTTCGCGGCCAAGTGCGGCGGCTGCTTGGAGGGCATCGCGCCCAGCGAGCTCGTCATGCGGGCCCAGCAGAGCGTCTACCACCTGGGCTGCTTCTGCTGCTGCGTCTGCGAGCGGCGGCTGCAGAAGGGCGACGAGTTCGTGCTGAAGGAAGGCCAGCTGCTGTGTAAGGGCGACTACGAGAAGGAGCGGGAGCTGCTCAGCCTGGTGAGCCCGGCTTTGTCGGATTCCGGTAAGGGGGGAACCCGGCGCGGAGGGGGGGCTGCGCTGCTTGTGGCCCGGGAGGGAGTGGGGGGGGAGTCCAGGCCCCCCGCAGAGACACGCCTGGCGAGGCTGATCGATTTGTGTGACCGTACCTCGCCGGAGCCCCATCCCCTTAGCTTGTAGGCGGGAGTAGGGTTGTTCATCTCCAGGTGTGGTTTGGCCACTAGAGGGAGACAGAGACACACGAGTATGGGAGCTCTCGGTGTGGGCCAAAATCCCGTTTCTTAAACTGTGTTCCGTGGCACACCGGTGTGCCGCGGAGAACAGTTCAAAATGGCCGCCCTTAAAGGGGCAGGTGACCTTTTTTTTTTTCCCTCAACAAAAAATCCTTGGTGTTTCACATAAAAAAAAATGATTGCTTGGTCTTAAAAAGTTTAAAAACCTCTGCGCTAGGTGCTGTACATACACCCAAACACAACAACTTCTGCTCCTCTGAAGGGCTTACAAACAGAGCATCAGGTAAGAGACACCTGATAGGGGCAGACAGAGCCCCAGAAAGTGGGATCCCACTGAGTCCACCTGCTGGGCCGTGGTCGCTGCAGACAGCCCACCGAACTGTTGTTCAGAGTTTTGGTAGGCCTCCCCAGCAGAGAAGACTTTGAAGGAGGGATCCGAAGGAGGATAATGTGTCAGTTTTGTGGCTGTTTGCAGGGCGCTTTTCCAAGCCGGGGGAGGAAGCACCAAAGTGAAAATACAACAAGGGGGTAATGGGGGCGATGGAGGCTGGTGTCGTGAGCTTGCCGGAGGCAGGTGTTGACCTTTTAAGCGCTGTTCAGAAACAGAGCTGGGAAGGAATTGAGAGGGGTTTCCTTCTTGCTCCAATGTGGAACTGGTTTGCTGCAAATATAAACTCCAGCCTGTGAGTCCAAGGTGGGGATCCACGCATATCCCCATCCCCTGCCTACCCCCAGTTCCACCTGCCAGCTGGAGGAAGGGCTGATCCATGGAGATCCCTGCAGGAATCCACAATACAGCCTTAGACGCCTCCCGGTGTTGTCGTGAAGGCAGGCTGTTTGCCATGGGTCAGAGGATAGGAAATAGGTGGGGGAAATTGGAAGACCTGGTTACTAAGTCCCAATTCTGCCCCTGAGTCACCAAGTGGCCTTGAACAAGGTACATTGCAGCTCTGTGCCTCAGTTTCCCCCTCTGTGAAAATGGAAATACAGGTTGAACCTCTGTGGTCCGGCAACATCTGTGGTCCAGCATGATTTGCGTTAGCTGGATGTCCACTTATCATGGATGTGGTCAGGTTTCCCATGGTCCCATAAAGTTTGTTTACAGTCACCAGTCCTCGCTCTTAGCTTTTTGTGCTGTTCTTTAGCTCTAATTTACCCCTAAATGTCGTCTCAGAGCCCAGTAAGCAGTGGAAGTGCTGGTGATGCTGCTAGACAATATTGACCTCCCATGGTTCAGCAAATGCTCTGGTTTGGCACCGGTCAGGTCCCGAGGGTGCCGGACTAGAGAGGTTCACCGTGAAATCAAGAGCTGCCTGTCCAGCCGGTGGCTGCCTTCCCCGAGGCCCTCCAGGAGCGGAAGAGGCTGGGAGGGAGGAACACAAACCGAAGGCCATTTTGTGAGAAAATGCAGATGAAAAGCAAAGCGGTGGAAGCCATATGTCGCCTCTAATCTCCCAAGCCCTCGCTTCAATTACTGCCTCCCCTGAGCTCCGGCGGCCGAGCCTAAGTAAACAAGCCCTTCTGAAAGAAGACCCCGGTTTCCAATTAAAAGTGTACTAACATTTCGCCTCTCCCTAATTCCCTCCGACCAAAGAATTTCTTCATCTCCGCGCATGAGATCGAAGGATCGCCCCCCCCCCAGCTCCCTTCCCCATTGAGCTGTGGGGTCGCCCAGAGGTCACCCCAGACAATATAAATGTCCCCCAGACCTTTCCCATGTGACGTCAAGAGGAGCCTTAAAGATTAATTAATTCCTACCTCGTTCGCGGAAGGCTTTAAAGGCAGAGTTAATTAAAAGTATTACCATGCTAAAGCCGACTCAACTGGTTCCCCCTCCACTCGGATGGATTCTTGGAGCAGGTGTTTGGGGCGGGGGGGGGGGGTATACCTTTATTCGTAGGTCTCCAGCGAAGGGCTGTTGCCCCCAAGTTCAGAGGTGGGTCTGACTGGGCTGTTCGGATCTGGAGGTTCCCCTTAGGGCCTAGAGTACCACTGATCAATTGCACATAGCGTCGGACAAACGTGAGCGGGTTCTGCATGGAGACGGGCCTTTGAGGAAGTTCAGATCCCGCAACAGTCTCTTTGTGCGGAAGCCAGCTGTTTATATCGGCAGCGCTTTCCCCGCGACTGAAAATGCAGCTACTTCTGGTGCGGAACACCCCCCTCACCGGGGCCCAGGGCTCAGCAGAACACGCGCGGTTGAGATGGCAGGGGGCAGAGCGCAATGACCCGCACTGGAATGTCGTCCGGACGCTGGCGTGAATGCTGTTCATGTGTAAAAGGGCAAGGAGCCAAGCCGCGAGCCATGCCGTCCGCCCCCGATCCTACGCTGCAACGGGAAGCAGCTGCCCACGGCTCCGAAAGCGTGTGGGCGGGGCCT